TCTACTACGAGACTCAGCTCACCCCGCTTCAACTAGATTTGAGTGTGGCACGAGCTTGAGAAGATCAAATGATGAAGGAAAACATGACCTATGATGCAGAATTTAAAAAAAGAAGAAATGAAACAAATAAAGAAAACATCTGCAACACTTTCAATAATGGTGGAGATTTTGAAACAAGTGAAGAGTTCATCTGTTCCGCATCTCAGTTCACCTCGCTTCAACAAGACCTGAGCGTGGGAAGAACATGTGGAAATCAAATGATTCAGAATAACAAGATCCAGGATGAAGAGGTGAAGGAAATGAAATTAGAAACAAGTGCACAGAACACCTACCACATTTTTCAGCTCCACCTGCCACAAGAACACCTAAGTAAAAGTAGAGCATCTTACCATCAAGAAGTGAGGAATATGGACTTAGAAAATGACTATTCAGCTTTGTTTTCGAGTGAATTAATACTACAGAGTTATTTATTTGACATAAACAGAACACCAGAAAGTATAGCAGAATACAATAGAAGAAACTATGTAGAAATCGACCCAGAAGATCCCTTCATTTTGGAGGAATTAAGCTTAAACCCAGATTTTAAGGGCTCCTCAGAACCACCACAAATCCATGCAAAAACGAGTTACCTCAAGAGAAAATGAAAAAACATCAAAAAACATTTTCAACTTCAAAGATCGAAAGATTCAAAAGATCCAAACCGAAAACGATATTAAAATATTTGTAATTGACATTCATTTCGATATTGATGTATATGTGCTCGAGCAATCTCATAGCAAGATCAAATTAATCAATCCCTTTACCCAACAGTTTAAACTGAGTATAATATGGTTAAATAAGTAAAAATTATCCATCATTTTTCCATATCTGCGAATGTTTCTTGAGGTTTAGATTGAATAAATGTGTTAAATTTAGAGCAGTACCATCCAACATTTTCTGGGATTTAATTTAATATATGTTTTTACGAAAACGTATAGCCATTTAAAAACTATTACAATGAAAAATTGTATTTTGACAGATGTAATAAAACAAATGTAGGTATATTTCAAAAAATGTAAGTATTTTTTTACCTATGCCAAAAAGGTATTTTATTACCTTTTTAACGATTTCGCTTAATAAATTTTTGATTAAAATAGTTTAAATGTTTAAAAAAATCATAAAGTAATTTAATCTACTTACAATATTTTCATTTCGGATGTTTTCTTTGGCTAAAAGTTTTTTTATAAATATCTTTCGGTTTTTGCTGCTCTAGATATAACACATTTATCATTCTGTAAATCAATGAAGTGTTCAAAGACAAGGGATTTCTAACAAAGAACGAGGAATCGTAACATTTACCTATTATCTCAGTATTGACCATCTCAGCCAAATTAAGCTCTCTAACTTGCCTCAACAAGACACGAGATTTTGAAAAGGCAAACAGTATCAGAAGATTATGAAAGTAATAGAATATAGTATTTTACCTAGAAATAAGGAAGTTAAAGAATTGGACTATTCAGGTTTCCTTTTCAACGCGAAAACTTTAGAAGAGAAGCCATTGCTCTGTGCACTAATAAAATTTCTGCAAAAATAATAAAAAAAAGGATACCAACCAAAAAAATGAAAAAAATTTCAAAAATCGTCCGCGTGCTGTCCACCCTTCGTCTCTAACAAAAAAAGCAAAAAGAAAATTATAAAAACAAACTTAAAAAGTTATATAACTAGAAAATGTTTTGCACTTCGCCTACGTATTGTAGAACAACAACAAAAAAATTACTGTATTATGCAAATGTTATTTTCATGTTTATGCGATGTTTCGGCCAATAAACATATCAAAATTTAAATACGTAGTGACTCATTTCATTTTACTAACCTTTCATTTTTGCAGAATAAAGTTTTGAAGTTGTAATATGGAAGCATAATAGTTGATGTTTTATTTTATTTTTATGGAACCAAAATTCTTAACGTTGATAAGCGACTAATCTAATAAGATACTTGCAGCTCGAGAAGAAGTGTAGTGATTAGGCCTTGCCTAACCATTTGATTTAAATCAGATTTGATTGGATGCCTGCATAGACATGCGCAGACATCCCCTATTGTAATCCCTGGGAGAGACATAGGAGAAGGAAGTATCGTACGTTAGTTTCTTTCTTGATTTTTAAATAGATTAAAAACTTTTAAGTTAGAACTGTATGGTACAGAAAACTACATTGAACACAACATTCAAAAAGAAAGCGTCGTGGAAATTTTAAAAAATATTTGTGACAATTAAATACGAAAAATATTAAGAAAGGGGAAAATATCGTAGTACATTCCTATACAATTGAGAGGAAGAACGGGAAGGGTCATGTCACGGAACCGCCGGTCTTCTCCCCAGATTGCGTATTCGTGCGTTGAGATTGGCGATCGAAATGGGCTGCAGGTGGCGTAGAGTAAAACTCTCTACCTATGGCAACACTTCGCATGCTTTCCCCATTAGCGTGTGGAGAGTCATAGAGGAAGGAAGTACATTAGTCTCTCTCTTGATTTTCATATAGATTAAAATCTTTTCAGTTGCAAAACTATATGGAACTGAAAACTACATTAAACATAGTTCTAAAGAAAAGTATCACGGAAATTTTTAGAAATATTTTTATTAAATAAAAAGGAAATATATTAAGAAAAGGGAAATATCATAGTACAACTGAAAAGAGGAGGAGAGGGAAGGGAGAAGGGTCAAAGGCATGAAACCGGCCTCTCCCCAGATGGCGTCAACAAACGAACGAATCGACAAACATAAATCTTTGATAGGTCACAGTGGCCTCCCTTAATGTCTTCGGATCATCCTCAGGGATGTTTCCCAAACTGTCGCCAGTAGCCCATTGTGCAGCTCTAGGGCGACGTAAATGAACTACAACAACAAAACCTTTCATCCTGGCAAGCCTGGATTTTACAGAAACTAGAAACTAAGATAAAAAATTGAAATAAAGAATGTGTACAAACTGATCGCGCTTGTGCGAATCGAGTACAGTTAGAATGACCCCCTTTAAGCATTCTACAGACAGTAACAAGCTATAAGCTCGTTCTTAAATCGATGTATACAGCACATCTGAAATGTCCTAGTCAGCAAGAAGGTGGATGTCAATTTGACTAATTTATCTATTTATTAAGGTTTCACTGATTCTTACTCGTATTTTATAAATTTATCTCATTATTTTCATGCTGTGTTAATAAGTTTCATAAAATGTTTTGCAAGCTTAATAAAAGACATAAGAAACCATGTAAATTACCTGAAATTTAAAAAAGTTTTGCATGAAACTAATTATATTCTATGCTCTAAAACGATTGTTTTAGTTTATAAAAGTCATTCGTTTCTACTATTGTCCAGCAATGTTATTTTATTTAATATAATGTGTTGTAATTATATAATTTTTTATTCATTTTCCGATTTCCACGTGATAATTATAGATATTTTTTTTTTAATTTTTATTTATCTTTACATGTAGTTGCTTCTTTGCATGTAGTTACAAGGCTTCTCAAATTGCATTCTCAATACAGCTGTTCATAAGCAAAAAAATAACTATTTGAGGGACTCTTATTTAATTCGTAACCTTTTTAAGAATATAAAAAATTCAAAAGAGATTAAAACTGTTTTCAATTTGGACATGATATGTAATCTAAGATTATCATTTATATAGTTTTGACGAATGAAATTAATTCCCTTTGTGTCACACATTATGTATTCCTAATTTTAGTTTTTTTTTTTTCCAAGTACAGCTGATTATTTTTTTTAAATCTAAATAATCATTCATTTTGTTACAATTAACAAAATATCAAAATGCATTCATGTAAAATGATGGCAATTCTTAATTTTATTAACAAAATAATATTTTTTTCTTAAAAAATATTTTATAGTTTCTTATAGATATTTTTGATTTGTGCAGTCTAATGAAACACAATCTATTTTATTATTTGTGTAGTATAGTTATAATAATTATGCTATTGATGGTACTTATCCATTTTATGGGGCCATAAAAGAATTTTTTAACATAGCCCTATGTTAGACAACTGTATTAGTATATTAGTAGCTCTTAGTACATTTTATTAAGTATCCGTGATGCCAATAATGATATGGCAACTTTTATGCCCCCTCTCTGAAATTGCTAAGTACCTTATTATTTTTATGATAAATTGATTTTTATGATATAATAATAAAAATGCTCAAAATTTAATTACCAATTAGGATTTTAAATGATGTGGTGTTTTAATTCAATTTCCTCAATTCACACCTCTTATTTCTTAATCAAAAACATTTAATACAATTGCTCTGTAATCCCTTGCTTAAATAGACATTTTTTACCTCTACTATATCATAAAAATTTTGTTAAAATAGTTAATATTACATAATACTTTTTCGTGTAAAAATAATGTAAATGTACAAGTACAGTATATTGAAAATTAATTTATAAAAAAAATTATAAGTTTTCCTTTTTTATTAAAATTATTGCTATTTTTTTTATTCTCATTTTCTATCATATTTTTTTTAAATTATTTATTTCAACATAATGTTATTAATAGTGAGTATCTTTGCTTTTTCTTACACATTAGCTTGTATGATTTTTTTTTAAATTTATTTCCTTTAGTAAATTAAATTTTTGGCTTCAATGAAATCAATTCTATGATATAGATTCTTATTTAGTAATGAATAATGCATTAAATTTATTTTATTTTGATATTCATTGTTCTTTTTTATTTTTTAGTTACTTAGCTTAAATTACAAGATATTCATTGTTTTTCTTTATAAGCACTCTATATAATTTTAAAAATGATACATTTGATATAAATTGTAAAAAAAAAAAAAAACAAGAAAAAAATCAATTTAAATTATTCTCTCATTTAAAGTAAATTCATTGATTAATTTATTGGCTCTATTTATACTTATAAAGAAGAAAGAATAATTATGCTCATTATTTTCCAAAGCCTAATACAAAAAGTTTTTATTTTATGAAAGTTCTGTCTAGTTGTTTGAAGCATATACTATTACAGGTAAATAGCAGACACTCTAAGGTTTGGCAAATCTTTAAGATACTTTTTCAGTCACTAAAATGTATACTAATTATGTTGTACCTTGAAAGAATAATTTTGCTTCCAGATGTGCTTGTTAGTTTCTTTTTAAAGACTACCAAGCTGCTTCATTGCATGCCTTGATTGGGTAAAATGATAAAGGGCCTGATCAAGTTACAAACTGAAAGTAACATGAATTAAAAATTAGTGTTATGCTTAGTATTAGCTTAAGTAATCACAGTTTTATGAATAATAATTATTTATCAACAGTATGTCAAAAAAACAAGAAGAATTAGGTACGTATGGATCTTTTTTTAAAATTTGCACTTAATTTTTTACTGTAGTTTTCATATGGCTATTTCTAACACTTAAAAACTATTTAATCCATACATTGCCTCCTCAGTTTTCGTATGTCTTTTTAGCAATTGTATATGTCCACATTGCATGCAATGTCAATGTGACAAAAACTGTACTAAACTTTCAAATGCACGTAACTTAAATTATTGTATTTTGATTATAGCACTTAACAATGATCAATCTAATTTATAAATTTATCTTTAAAATCATAGATAAAATGTATGTTAACTCATTTACTCAACTACAAAAAGGTGACAGCACTTTATATCTGTTCCCATAGCAAACACTGTGTAGTAATTTATATTTAGTTATTTCTCCTTGCATAAATCATAGTTTTGAACATTAGGATCTTGATATTGTATAATGTCTAGTAGAGAGTCTTTCGATAGTTATAAATTTCTTTTATCTATTACTTATTGCCGTTTACTCTCATTATCTCAAAAAGCATGTTAAGTTTAAAAATATATAGTATATATACTTTTTCCCTTAGCATTACATATCCACCTAATATTAATTTGAATTCCTGTGTTGAAGAGTTTCTTGTCAGAACTTTGTTATTTCGAATACTTTTCGAAGTAAAAAATGAAATTTTTTTCGGAAAAATAACCACGTATCACAACTTAGCTTTACAGTGTCCTAGAAAAAATGCTGGCCACACATTAAAACATTTTCTGAGAACATGGAAAACGATGACTTGGCAGCTATTTTTCGAATAGAAAATTTGAAAACTATGTTGTCAAGCCACAATAGTAGAGTTTTTTTTAAATTAATTCTATTAATGTAAGTTTATTGTAAACGAATTCTTTTATATTTGATGCATAATTATTTTTTTTACTGGTTTTAAAAATGCTGCATTTAGACTTATTGTCAACTATTATATAAATATCTTTATTAATACTTATTTTGATGTTCCAAGACTCTGCGTTTTAGATTACTATTTAAGTATTTATCTTTTTTTACTTTTTAGAACATATTTGGTTCAGAACTTATTATCTCGAAAGCTCACTATCTTGAAATTTTTTCAGTGTCCCCTTAACTTTGAGATAATGAGAGTATACTGTATTTTTTAATAAAAAATATTTAAAAATTCTTATTTGCCTTATTGAAATGTATTGTAAGTTTGGGATATACAATAGAAATATAATTATATCCAATAGGAAGTAATTTATATTACTTAATCCTTAGATTAACTTTAACAGATAAAAAGGAAAATTGTAATATTTTCAAAAAGATTGAAGATTGTGTTAGGTAGCGGTTTTCTGAAACAACATAGCAAGGAATTATAATAGCTTGATTAATTCTGCTAAGATCCATTTAAAAATAGATAAATTCTTTTAGTTAACAAAGTCTCATTCTCAAAATAGATTCTTCATAAAGTCAGCAACTCAACTAAATTCCAACTTCCCAAAACTGAATCCTGATAGCAAAATATGAAATGTCTGAGAAATGATTGATTTGGTAAGACCAGATGAGACTCTTAAATGATTTTTTTTAATGAAAACGAAAAATGCCATGTACAGCAAGGGTAATGTGACTGCTTATTTTTTGTAATGTCATTTTTTCTTTTATTGTTTGACTAAGAAACTCCCTTTAAATGTTGTGATAGAATCGTTACTTATCCATGCATCTTTTTTAAATGCAATAAAAACAATTGAATGCATTAATTTAATATTGTCCAAATGAAAAATGACGGTTACAACATTAAATCTACTTCACTTTTACTTAAGCACAAATCAGAAGGAAGTAAAAGAGGGATAACCATTATTGAAATTGTTTTGCATAACTCATAAGTAGTTTCTCACAAATTAGCATTGATTTTTTTATTGCACAGCATTATTATTAACAAAGAAGTGTTATTATTAGATGCATTGAGTAAAACTGGCTAGTGTATGCTCTTTATTAATAACCCCTATTTTTTTATGCTCTGAAGTAAGAGTAATTTTTTTTCCGCCAAATCATAAGTTTGACTCTGGTGACAAAAAAATAGTTAACTTTCTTTTTCAAATTTGGGTTAATTAAATTTTATAGCATTTTGATCTTTTAAACATAATTGATTTTCTTTATCCCCCTTCCCATTTTGGTACTGTTAATCCACTTGTCAATTTTAATCAAAATTTGCATGATTTGTATTTTTCAGTATATGTTTTGAAATGAAAATTTCATGACACGGTCATGTTGGGTAATATATTTTTTGATATATGAGAATTTTTGCTTATCCATAATAATATATGGTGATTTTTGCTTACTCAGTATAATGTATGGTAATTTTTACTCATCCAGTTGTGTTCTATGACCCTTTTTAACAGGAACATCTATGAATTGATTGTATGGTGTTTAATTGTTGTCTTATTGATCATATAAGTATAATTGTTTTCTTATTAAGTAAAATATTTTATTTTTTTACCATTTCACTTTAAAAAATTTCTTTACATTTTTTTAAGTTAGTTTTCACACAGTGCTTTGTAAATTTATATTTTGATGTTAGTTTTTCTTTTGCTTAGGTCAAAATAGCCGTAACTGGGACTAGAACTTTTACTGCTGAAATTTACTAGAATTAAATTTGGAAAGTTAAATAAAGAATTAAAAAATCTTTGAGGTGTTCTACTTAATCTCTGTCCATATGTCTTGTTGATTGTCTCTACCTCTTAAATTAGGTGAGTAGCGTTCTTTAATCATTATGCATTAAGAGTTTTGCTGTATTCTTAGAAGGGTTGGGTTATTCTTGTAGGGTTGACAATATTTCTTCTGCAGGTTGCAGTTTCTCTGAAGATTGTTAAGGCTCTTCACACAATGTGAAAGTATTTCAGTTGCCTTGTAAATTTTCTAATATTCTTCAAATCGGGGATGGAAAGTTTATTTTTTAATGAGTAAATCTACAGAGAAGAAATAAATTCATTCCAACCAAAATGAAAGAAATTCTTTTTCCAAAAAAAAAGTCAAATATTAAAAAAAAATAATTTTAGCAGTTTATTATAGCAATTTAGTTTAAATATTAGTATTGATTTCTAAGTAAAGCTTTTTAATACATCATTTTTAAATAAGCAAATAAGAAAGAAATAAGATTAATGAAGAAAAATTAATGAATTTTATAAGAATTTGAAATAACTGTTATTCAATACTTCACATAAATGATCTTAGTGAAACCTATAAAAAAAAAAACTTAAAATACAGTAGAACTGGGATTTAACAGCATCCGTGAATAACGATTTGAATGAAACCTTCCTTTAAGGGCCTTAAAGGAACCTCTTAGAATAAGAATGTGGGATAATAGTCATTTTTCTTTTGTGAAGAAAAGAAAATGATATGCAATATGGTGATTTTTATCTGTGACAATATCAATCACTGAAATAGTGGAATCTAGTAATGATGGAGATTCTGAATCTTCAAATTCATCATCATACTGAGAGACGGAAAGTTTTCTTAGAAAGTCATGAAGGATAAAAGGAGAAAAATGGATGTCTTGGAATCGTTAATTTATCGAAAAAAAATTATTGTGTTCTGTGTTTTTTTTTTTTCTTTCTTTTTTTTACTAAATCAATTACTTTTACGTTTCAGATTGTATTTAGGTATTTAACAAAATAATTAAATTTGTATGCATTAAAAATTTTGATTTTAAGGGAATTTTTATGTCCCTAAAATAGAGACTTCCTATTATTTACTAGATTACTAGATTTTTGTTAATCAAGGTTCATGGTTTTAAAATTCTGTTTGAAACTAAAATAAATTATATTGAAAATAATTATTTGTTTGTTTGTTTTTTTAAAAAAAAACAGATATCTAAAACTTTACTTTCTGATACTATATTAATTTTGAAATAAATTTAAACTAAATTTGGGCTTTTCTTAGTATGCTCTCTTATTTAAAAATAGTTTTCTTAAAAATGTTTAAAACTTTTAACTATCTGGTACTAAATTAATTTTAAATTAAATTGATATTAAATTTAAACCTTTCTGCAAATATTACTAAGCAATAGTATTGACTACTTTTAGTATCTTCACTTTTGTCCAGTTTCTTCAGGTTTTTTCCAATTTCTTTCAATGTCCTAGGTGAAATGGGTTTCTTCTGTAGAAAATGCCAACCCAGCTTCAAAGTGCTTTCTTCTATTAAAATATGAAAAATTATTCATTAATAAAAGAATTTGAAAGAAAATAAAATCTGTTTTGATTCGAAAAAGGGTTTTTCTTTAATTGAATTTACTTTTCTTTTATCCTTTGATTGGTGTCAGCATACGTGCTTCCCGATGCATTTACGAGGTCAGCATTTTGCAACTGAGTGTCTTTTTTGTTTGTTTTTAAAAATATCCAGAAGTTTTACCAAAATATGCCTCGATTGTTCATCAAATGTCAGTTACTCTGCAATTATTTGAATTTTAGTAACTTATAATTTGCATGTACCTCAATTTTCTTTCTTTTCTTTTTTAAAGTTCGCAATTTTTGAATTACTTAATATTCATAACTTTATTCTCCTATGATATTACTTTGAACAAGCTAATTTCAAAATGAACTTGATTGCTTATAATTTAAAAAAAAAAACATATATATATTGTTTTTTCATGGTAAAATTTTTAGCTGCATGTAGTATTCATTTCTTAATGTACTAACTATTTATTTTTTCCAAATATAAAATTTAAAAAAAATAATAATTCTATAAAAAGGGACAAAGTGCATTCTTAATTCTAAAAGAAACAAACTTATGAAGAGTCTCGAAGTAGTGTTGCAATATTTGGTGACTAGGTAGAATTAGTTAATAATAAATGATGAAGCAACCAAAATTTTAAGATGAGGAAATGGAAATTTTTTTTTAAAAGCAGAAATTTAAGAAGGAAAAAAAAAAGCAAAGCTAGTTGTGCTTGGTTAGTGTTATGAAATGTAATGATTCTTGAACTAAAATAAATACTTTTTAAGCTATTTCAAATTCAAAAGAAAAACAGTTGTAGAAAGCTGTGTTTGTTTAATGAAATTTATTTTCATAATTAATAATTACTCAATATTAAATACTTTTAAAATTAGTGGATTTCTAACACATTTATTGTTTTGTTTTTCTTTCTAAAATATCAAAGATACTGTGATTTTTAATTTTACATTGTTTTTATACATTTTGAGTTGAGCAGTTTTTAATTTCACTGTTTTTTATTTATTTTAAGGTTTAGAGATTTGACATAATAGTCTCTGAAATTGTATTCGATCCTTGGAAATGCAATATTGTGTTATTAATGAACCTAAATTTGTCAAAGCTGCATATTTTTTTTTTTAGCTGAATTTATAGTTTTACATATAACAACACCCATTGAAGATATATTTTTTTCATATAAATAAAGATTTCATGATCTTGCAGTACCCTTTTATTTTTTTTATTTTCTTAATTTTATTTGCTTCATGTGACTCTTTCTTGTTTTTTTTCTTCCGTGTAACTACAGAATGTAGTTAAAATTTGGTGCACTATAACAATTTCATAATTTCTTCGAATGAATTTCAAAAAATGAAATTTTATTTTGCCTCCTAAAAACAGGAAATAATCAGGAAAATTTTTTAAAAAGTTTGAAAAATTCCTTCATTATACCTAAAAAAATAACCAATCTCAGGATTGTGAGTAGCAGTAATCAGTTATTTAAGTTAAATAACTCTAACATCTGTTGCAATTAGTTGTTGTAAAAATTTCACATTTTAGTAAAACTTCCATGCTTGTATCCTCATTTAATGATATTTCTTTGTTCACAAAATCTAATATTGTCTATAATAAAATCTAATATTGAGACTTGTCTGATAAAAAATCGCATGTTATAAATAAAGCATGATTTGGATTTTTATTTTTTTCCTGGAATTGAGTAAAAACACTCTGTAAATTTGTTTAGTGCTAGAAAACTAAATTTGTTTATTGATTTTTCTTTTTAAATTATTTTTATTATTTTTCAGTTTCTTGTTTAAAAATGTTTTATCTGAAAACCTCTTTATATTCTTACAGGTAATATGAGTTGGAAGTTAGCTGATGTTGGTTACTGGTCCTACCAAGGAGTTAATCACAGTATTCAAGGAAATGGTGGACCTGAGTGCACTAATTTTTTGTCTTTGTACCGCCGTGTATGGGAAACTTTAATTGCTTGTGCCATTGGATTCTTTGGTCTTTATTATGGGCTTAAGAGATGTACTCTGCCTCCAGTTCCAAAAGTATTTCGAGAAGATAGAGGAGGGAAAAGATTACTTTTAGTGCTGATGTGTTTAGTGTTTGGAATCGAAATAGGTTTCAAATTTTCATCAAGAACCATGATATATATTTTAAATCCATGCCATGTCATTACTACTATACAAGTAAGCTTTATAAATGTATTAACAGTTTTTAAAAATGAAAGTAAAATTAAAATCATTTATAGTCAGGGGTCTGTCCAGACATTTTGTAAAATTGTGAAAAAACTATTCATAATTTGTGAATATAAAATAAGCGTTAGGCCACGTTCTTTCAACCAGGATCCTGCTATTGTGAATTTGTGCAAATAGGGTCTATTGCAAAAATTGCTAAAAACCTTTTCAAGAAGTTTTTAAATTGTAAATAGATACAAGATTCTGCTCAATTTCTGCTACTAAAATAGAGATGCAATATACAAATATTTGGTATTTAGCCTATATTGCTCAACACAGAATATTCATTTTGGACGAATAATGAAAACAAAATCACTCACATTTTTAATAATTTCAATTGACATATTCTAAATAACACAACTTAGTGATGTATCACTTTTAATGTGTTGCGCATTAAGTAAACTTAAACAATTCTTAAATTTATACTATTTTATTTAAAAAATTGCCAGAAATTAATTTTTATTTACATAATCTATTAATTAATTTTATGAATAAATATAAATTGATCAATTAATTATTTACAAAAAAATATGATTTAATATTAATAAAAATGCGCACACGATGTTTGTAAAAGTAGAAATATTTTCTTAGAATACTACATTTGGAATTTAAACTTAGGGAAACTTAGTTTGTCTCAAAATGTCTTTCTTTTCCTCCCTCTCCCCCCCCCCAGAAGGGTTTATTCTATTAACAAAACAAAAATGAAGATAAACAAATTTGTGAAGGGTCCGATTAAAAGATAAATTATTTTGTGAAGAATCCGTTTTTGTGAAAAGATATTTTCTGAGGGGTCCGTTTTTATGAAAAGATATTTTGTGAAAGATCGTTAACGGACCCAAATTTCTTCTAAAGGACCCTTGATAGTAATGAAATACAGAATGAAACACCAGTATCTTTTTCTGCATTAAAGATAAAATCTTTGTAATACTTCCAAGCAATAATTTTTCAAACTTGCAGCTATTTAGATCTACCTGCAATTATTTATCTTTGAAATTTCTTTAATTTACAAAACAATTATTGATAAAGTTTTTAATATGAAAGAATTTTTTTTTTTTTTTTAAACTACTTCTTTTGGTTTTTATATTTTTGAGAAAAATAGTTCCGTTAATCCAACAGATTTTTTAGTAATTATTAAACTGTTTTTTAAAGTTAAAAATACCGAAATATATTTTTGCTTGAAATGAAAGAGTGTCAGAAAAAATATATATAAATGAGACAATCTATATCTCATCAATAATCTCATCTGCATCGCAGGATTAAATTCCTTTACGATGTTTCAAATCTTGGCATGTATATTCACAGAATTATACAGAAAATGTATATTATTTTAGAATCTTTCTCAGTTTAGAATTTTTAAGAAAACTTACTGGTTCTTTAAAAAAAAGTTTCATTTTGGTCATTGAAATTTATTTGTTTTACTGAATAAAATGTGTGCAAATTGTGTTAGTTTGATCCATATGGAACGTGAGATAAAAATTTAAGAATTTAAATTCATTTTACAATTATGCTCTTAGGCTTATAATTTTTAATAATGTTAGTATTTTTTTCCAACTTTTGCAAAAACTTTTTTGTTATTTACAGGGTTCGTTGATTTAAATCAGCTTGATTTAAATCACCATTTAAATCATGATTAAAATCAAATGATTTTTTTTTTAAAAATCATTGATTTAAATCAACTGAGTTTTATATATATATTATATTGATTTTAAAAGTTAAAAAACAGTGCTTTAAATTATTGATACTTTTATTATTTTCTTTTCTTAGTTTTAAAATTTATTTTAATTAAATTGCTGCATTAATTAATTTTAGTTAACGAAATTACTTTCTTTCTTGGAGTGTGTTAAACACATTTAAAATTACATGTTTAAAAATCTTTTGATTCTTAACATTGAAAGTACAGATTAAAGTAAATATTTAATGCTGTCTTAATATAGACTTGCATAGCTGTAGAAAGTAAATAAACATGCTTTTTTTTCAAAAAGCAAATGTTAATTAAAATTCTACCTTTTGATTAAAAAAGCATGAAATTCAAATCTACATTATAGTTTATTGATGGAAATTTCTATATTTCTAAAGCTTGAGGTTATATTAAAAAGAAATTACCTTAATATGCCAAAAATAGAAAGAAAAAAAAAGCTGAGTTCAGATATTTTTTTCCTGATATAGTGTCATTCTTCCCTATCAAAGTCTATTTGAAGCAGTAGGGTTATTAACTGGTTTTTATTTTTCTTCTCATAATATGTTTACGGTATCTTTGAAATTATCAGATTTTCTTTTGTGAAAAAAAATTCCAATGAGTACATAGATTTTTTTAAAAATGTTTTTTAGCTTAACTTATGTATTTTGATAAAGGATTAAAAATGAATATTTTAACATAAAAATATATAGATTGAATATTTATTTTTTGATGAATAACAACATTTATAAACACAATCTGTTGCATTTATTTTGCCATTTTATAAATCATGAGAAAAAAAAGAGATCACAATTTTAAATTAAAATTATGCTGTGCTAATTGAAACTTTGTGTTATTAGTTAAAGTAGTATTCTTTAAATTATCTATTTTATCTTGTCTTTTAATTTCAATCATGCCTTTGTATCAAAATGGTCGCTATGCATTATAATGAAAAATTATTTTAGTAAGTTAGAGCTTCTAAAATATTGTTATAATATAGTTTTAATATTAATTTAATTTTGATTAAACATTTATAAAGTTTTTTTGATCATAAATTAAAGCTCTTATAGTGTATTTAAATAAAAATCAAAAAAATCTGATTTAAATAAAAAAAATCCGATTTAAATCAAAATAATCCGATTTTTTTGATTTTTTTTAAAAAAAATCAAAAAAATCACGAACCCTGGTTATTTATAGTGACCAGCATAAATACAACACATGAAAGAATTACTACCTCTGACTTTCAAAACCATCTTAAACAATGGTTAATGTGGGTTCTGGTTAATGGTTAATATGTTTAATGTGGGTTCACGTGCAAATGCTAATGGACTAAATTGTGATGGGACTAGGCAATGTTTTTATCAAAACTCACAAGTTTAATTCACTTCATGAATCAAATAGTGCTAAATTGCATAAAAAATATATTGTCAGAAATTGTTACAATAAACCAGAAGATGACAAAACCAGTTGTTTGAAAAAAATTTTACTGTAAAAGATGTGTATTAGGTGGCTGGGTCATCATACATTTTTCATTTAAGTATGAAAATATTAGAAATTGCTTTAAATTGCATCCTATTGCATTAAAATTTAGAAATTGCTTTATTTAACTTCAAAATGAAATATCTCTAAACGATGCGGAGGTGACATTTTAGATTTCACAAATGTAGATTACAAATTTATAGTATGTACGTTAAGCTGTAAAAGCTTTAGATTTGGTCTATAAATTTTTTGATTACACTATGATTACTTGTGCTAGTATTTATCTTATAGATTAGGTGACTTTTATACTACTTAACTAATTGCTAAAAAAATCTTCCAGTTGAAATGTATTATTGATGTACAGTGCACAAAAGAGGACCATCCAGAATAACTTTTGATCATGTTCTATGGCTCAATCTTTATGGTTTGAGAAGTTGACCTCAAATATGCTAAGTAATAAGTGCAAATAATGTTTTAAACTATGAAAGCAGACACGAAAACGTACCTTCTCTAAGTAAATATATATATATATATATTTTGTTGACAGATTCGGATTTCTGTCTTCCAAAATGTAAGGGGTAGCCACAGTCTTGATCCAAAGTTTATAAGACACCTTAGTCCAGGGGTGGGCAAACTTTTTCGGTCGAGGGCAAAAAATCGAGAGAAAAAATGTTTGGTAGGCCAAGTAAAAACTTCAAAATTAAAAAAAAATAATTAAATACAAGTTTTAATTTAAATATTTAGTGAGATGAATGAAATTGCTATTTCATTTCTAAAAGTTCCTTATATTAAGGTTCGAAGTGAGATGTGCTTATTTTAAGGAACAAGGCTAAATACTTGCCTGTTAGTCTACTTCTGAAATGATTTTTTCTAAGGTTCATAGTTGAAAACTCTTGTTCACATATATAAGATTAAGCAAGCATATCACTGATTTCCTGGGCATGAAATATTAGATTTTGGAAACTAGCTTTTGTTAATGATTCGTAAAACTCAAACTTTGGCATATTTAGAAACATCTGCTTCAGATGATTGTTAGATTGTCCGCTCATTGCAGCTTAAAGTGTGCTGACTGCCACATGTGAAGTACAATTCACCTGTATTAGATTCCACAAGTTTGCTCCTCGAGAAAGGCAAACGCTAATTGGAGCCAATCTGCGGCTATTGTATAAAGAACTTCTGCTTTTGACATTTTAGCAATTGAAGCTGTCCGTGCTAACTATTTCCATCAATTTATGTTTTGTTGAACAAAAATAGAGAAAGTAAAAAGGTCACCAGTACTTTGTTACAAAAGAAAGAGCAGCAATAGCTTTAAACAAAGTATATTTGCCATAGATTGGCAAGTTAAAACTCTATATGCGGGCTGGATAAAACCTTCCGGCGAGCCACAGTTGGCCCTCGAGCCGTAGTTTGCCCATCCCTGCCTTAGTCCAAAGAGGCTCCTTAATCTTAATTTTACTTTTTTCGTATTTTACCGTATTAAACTTTTTAAGCAAATTGAAAATTTTTGCACACAATTGTAACATTCGTTTATCCAAAGATAATTCCATCCAAAAAATAACTTCAGTAAATATTTATTATTATTTTATTTATTGATAGTTCGAAAAATTTTGAATTATAAAGTATATAGTATTGTACATAATTTTAAAGAATGCAATTTGTTTGATTATGTTGAAATTGATCGTGTTATTCTTGAGATATTGAATTTTAAAATTATCACATTTTTCAAGGAAGAGTCATCAAGTCAACCCTGTCTCAATTTCATTGCATTATAAAAGCTCAAAATTATAATTAGTATGCTGAAAAATATCGTACCAATTTAAATATCTATGATGAATTTTTTTTTTGTTTTTTTTTCATGAAATTTACTAATTTTTGTTATATAAAAGTTTTGATTGTGTTACTTTTCTTGTCTTTGCCCTCTGGGTGAAGTTTGTTTTTTTACTAGATGTAATTTAAGGAGACGACTGTGGACATTTAAAATAATAGCTTATTTTCAATGCCTCATTTTTTGTGTTAAAGCTATATAAATATAATGTACTTAATGTATAAAATTTCGAAAGGCTATATTAAAAAATGATTAAGATATTAATTAAATAAAGACATTAATTGAAATATACTTTCAATTACACTTATTTAAAAAAGTCCATTGAGCTACAAATCTTTAAAAATAAATTGAACTCTAAAAGTTTGTCACAAGTAAGGTTTAGAACAAATGCTCCTTAAAATAATTTTAAAAAATATGTGCTTAGATAAAAAAAAAAATTCTCTTTTTGTAAAAAATAATTACAGTTTAAATTTTGATTACTGAATTCATTTAAAATATTATTGAATAATTAATCTAGGATCCACCTGTATTATTTGTTGTTGACCTGATTTATAGCCAAAATATTTTAAAATCAAAATTTTGAAAAAACAATTTTGTGCTAGAGACATTTTATTGATATGAGTAATTGCATTAAATAATATTTTAATAAATTTGCAATATTTTTTAATGTAAATTTGAGCATAAGATGTCTGAATAATTTTGTTTAACTGAAAGTTAATTAGGTTTCAAGCTTCAATATGCATGATAAAATATCAAAAATTTAGTTCATTTTTAAGGTTTTAAAGGTTCACTACCTCTTTATTATATATCATGGAAATAATATTTGAGTTTAAATGTATTGTCAATGAACAAGTGGATCTTATTCTACTTTGCATTGCAATGAAAGACTTAAAAATGTTGACTTGTTACAGAAAAATACATTATCAGATTCTGTTGATATAATTTTAATTTTTACAGATATTTCTTCTTGCTGCCCCTCCTACATCCAAAACTGTCACATTCTTGTTCAGAATCCAAAATCATTGCCTCTATGGAGCAGTTTTGGCGATTCTTTTTCCTGTTCTAAATACTCGAAAAGTAAGCTAAGTGCATTTTATCTATTTTATTAGTTTTATGTTCAACCATTGCAAGGAGGTCACTAATATGCATTCTTGTCAATACAATCCTGTTTGTTAACGAAATAAAATTAATAATCAAAGGATTTCTTTCAAGCCTTATCTGATAGAAATGAATTATTCAAAAGAATCTTCACTTTTTTCAAGCACAATTTTATTTTGAAATCCCACTTGTACTAAAGTACCCAACTTGTACTTTAATGAAAAAAAATGAGAGTTATGTTTTGTTCTTTATTTTCTCTAATTCATTTTATAATTCCTATTTCATGATTAATTTCCATTACAAGCTGAAGTCATTTGTTTAAATATGGCTTTGTTTTGCAGCGACCATTGGAATTAGAGATATATTGGATTCAACATTTTTTAATTCTGATTACACCTTTTTATTTGCTCAGAACTGGAATATCAGGTACTTGTATAGATTTAAGATTTTTTTTTCTTGAATCTAGTAGCACTTATATATTGCATAATTTGTTTTGTTTGTTTTTTTATCAATTCTCATCTGTATTAAAATTACATTTAGCCATATTTTTATGAATTGCATTTCATTGTTTTATAAAGTTTTAATAAATTCTAAATAAAAGTAAAATCATTTTTACCACTTGATTTGAATCATTTTTATTACTACTGGGTAAAACATGAAAATAGAATTTTTAAATGATTTTGTTGCTTTTGAATGTTACTAGTTAATTAAATTACAATTGAATACACATTTTCCAACCTGAATTAATTTAACCAAAGCAACTTCTTTTCATCAAATTGGCTGTTAATTGTCATTAAATTGGATGCTTTTCATAAAATGATTGCTTATTAACTATAACTTATCTGTAATAAAAATGTAGGTGAAACTTGCAGAATACTCAATTTATTTGTCTGAAACTAAGCATTTCATGCATTTGGTGAAAATTTAAATTTTTTTTCTAAATAAATTTTATTAAATATGAAATGATCTTCACAAAAAAATTTGCTTTTACTTTAATTTTTATTTATTTAATTTGTTTATTATTTTTTTGCATTTATTTTGATCAAAAAGCATTTTAGTATTTAGATATTTTTAAGTAGCTTCTCCGAAAATTACATTCAGAAAAGAAAAGTTATGAATTTCAAAAAATAATGGTTATTGATAGATTTATGATATGTTTTATTTTTTCTCTTTATTTATTTATCATTATCTTTAACCCATTATTAATTTACTGCTGAATGGAGGTCTTTTTCAAATTTATCAAAAAAAATAATTTATTTTTTTGTCATTACCTTCCAATTCACATCTAATTTCATCAGACCACCTTGTTCATGCTCAGGTTTACCTAATAATCTAAATCACTTATTTTTTATTAAAAAAAAATCAGTGATTTTAATCAACTTATTTTTTTATTGAAATTTATTTTTTTTAAGTCCAAAACATTTTTATTTGGATAATTTTTAAATATATTCGTAAAGTTATCTTTTAAAAGTCTGATTTTATTGATATGAATGTCCAGAAAATTCCAGACATATTGTCCTGGAATATATACTTGAATAATATATATCAGAGAAATATTATTCAGAGAAATAATGATCAAATGTGATGTATGTAATTTATAGTTTGATGTTCAAAGTAGACCCAAAAATAAAGACTAAATTTTCATTTGCATATGTAAAATAATTTGCTATTTAATAAACTTATTTTGATGATAACAATTTAGCTTTATATTTATTTAAATATAAATGTTTTAGAAATTATTATATATTGTTAAGGAAATATGTTGTTAAGGAAAAAGAGTTCTACCGAAAGTAATTCAAAATGATGTTTTCCTGATCTAAATTAATTTATTAATCTATTGATAAATAGCTGACAAATTGGGACTTAGTTTTTACAAATTCGTTAAAGTATTGAGCTTAAATAAAAATGACCATTATTATGTTTGCTGTAATAATTACATAATAGTTTTAACCATTTGACACAATAATTTTGACTATAGTTATATAGTTTTTAAATAGTATAAATATAATTTATTAGAGCTTTGATTGATATGTGTAAAAAAAATGATAAAATAAAAAAAATATGACTTAAATTTTTAAATAATCTTTTTTTTTTTTTAAATATGATTTTTACCAACCCTGATTGCAATGCCATTATCTTTCTGTTAATTGAGCAAATTGCTATTTTTAGCCAATAGTTTTATCAATGACATTGAAAATCTTTGTTTATTCTCTGATCAATTTTATTTGCATTTGCTTCTTTCTTATGTTACTCAGACATAATTTTTGTTTAATTATGTATGTATATTTTTTGAGTCGAGGTGTATTTAGCATTCATTTTATTTAAATGTACCTTTGTGAAGTGGGGGCTTGGGTTGTGTATAGAGTTAGGTTAGGAAATTTAAGAAGGAAATATACTTCTTTTAGATGCGCTAGTTTCCACCTCCACTTCACAACGTTGTTAATTTTGATTAAAAATGAAGATTTTTATTTGACTCTATATTGAATCGTTAAAAAGTGTTTAATTGTTTTAATATTGTTTTTTAGACTTACTTCTATAAGCTGTATGTTACATTTAAAGGTGCATGAAGAGTTTCCTTACTTAATATAAAGAAATTAACATTATAAAAAGAATCGCTGAGCTAAATTTCTATATTTTTAAAAAATGGTAACTAATGCAGCTGATAAAGTTGAAGTACATCAGAAAATAATGGTAAAATACGTTTATGGCTGGCTATGGTATTTTAACCTTTCCACACTAATGTCTTATTTTGATTTGAAGTAGTTATCTTGAAAGTTTTTTTAAAAAAAACACTTATTTTTGACTATGCAGCACTCACCCGAGGCACTTTTCGGCAGATTCGCAGTTTCCATCATAAGACTTGAATAACAATTTGGTACTTTTCCATCTCACCAACATAAATAAATTCAGCTATTTTATTTATTAGTTTATTTTTTTTTTAAAGAAATAGCTGTTGCCTTAAAAGTTTAAAAAAAAGGAACAAATTAAGAAATAATTTAATTAATAACTCAGTGAAAAATTATTAAATAATAAATATAATACAAAAAAACAGCTAAATTTACTTGGGCCCAATATCTCCCTTTTATCTCAATAATTTTAATCTTGCAATTTGTTTATTAATTTATTTATTTTTCTATTACAAAAAGAAGTACTGTATTCTACCTGCTTTGTTGATTCCAAATTTTTAGAACTCTTGAATAATATGAAAAGTAGAAAAAAAAATTTATTAATTAACTTTTTGTATACAGGAAAATTTTAAATGTGTGTTGGTGTTCATTCACATATTTATGCCTTTTAGAAGAAGAAATAAAATGTTATATGATGCAGATTACTTATTCAAAGAATTTCAATTGAACTTTCTTGACCATTTATTTAAAATGATTTTAGTTCAACTAGCAATTCGATAATCACAAAATTTTTTAAAAGGTTAACGGAAGAGTAATTTGCAAATTGATTTTCTTATACTATTGCCATAGGGCAATGATTTTGATAATTCAGCTTTGAGTAAGTTTTTAGCTATTAAAAAGTAAGTACTCGAATGCTTTTCATTTTTACTAAACTGTAGCTTTTCTCCATATTGATGTTTTGCACCATTTTCAGAATATGCATTGAGGTCGTTTTCTATAGATAGGCTAAAGTTGTCCTAACAGTTATGAGTAACTAATGCAAACTCACAGAAATAATGAAAATAGCATATTATTTGTTATAAAGCATCATTTCTTATGACGACAGAGCCTTCAGAAAGCATCCTTAAATTAAAAATATTGAGTTCTGATTAAAAAAAGATAAAATCAAATTATAGTTTTAAACAAAATATCAAATTGTGGTTCAGCATTTAGAGATGGTCCTTTTGAAAGTTCAATAAGTAATGACATTTTCTGAAATGACAGAAGAGTAATGTAACTTAAATTACTGAATATTTTTGTAAAAAATACTTCTTTTTACTAATAGAAAAAAATGAAATAGTTCTTTTTATCTTGTCTTAACATAGGATTTTTTGGGGAGGGGGAATGGTAAATTAAAAATCAAAAAGTAATAAGTTTTTATGTAAGAAATTATTTTTGAGCTATTTTCTGATAGATTTGGCTTTTTATTTATCAAACCAGTATATAATCCTAAATTTATTCATTTGAAATTCATTATTAATAATGTTTTAGTTTTTTCTTTGTCCTCATAATAATTCATGACTATCTTGAAACATAAGTTTTTTTTTTTTTTTTTTTTAAAAAACATTAACAATATAAATAAATAAAAATTGTTCTGTAAGTTAAACTAATTTTAAAAACTGGTAAAAATATGCTCTAAAGGTTGTGGTTAAAATAGCAACTCTAACTAGTACTTTTAACAAAATATTCCAAGAACAAACTCATGACATTAAAATTCCTTTGTAGATCGTTACCAAATGCCCATACTTGTAACATTTATTTTCTTTCGTGTTTCATGGGAATAAAATCAAATATTTTTGTTTCATTTGCATTATCTAGCTTATTTTTATTAAAATTATATATTTTTATATTTAACTAAATTTTTGATTTCAATAAGCATCATTGTATTAATCTATTGCATTGAACAGTGTAATTAAAATATTTCTTCTTGTGTTCACTTTGCCTATTATTGACATACTTATAATCCCTAGGAGTTTACTCTTTGGAACCATTAGCAGATATGAGTTGGGCTGCCTTGACTCTAGGACTTGTGTTTTTATACCATTTTTTACCTCTTCAAATCTTAGGAATGGTAATTATATTTTTTGTTATCTATTAATGGAATTATAGATCATTTAGCAAGTCCCCTTACATAAGGATCCCTTGTGGCCTAACTGCTTGACCAATCAAAATATGTTCTTTTACATTGTGATTTGAAAATTTTTAGTCCAGATTCACTTGGTTAAATTGATCATAGCAATGAAAAGCCATAAATGACTGAGTAACCAAACACGCGTGACAAAACTGCCTCTGCAATAAATTTGCAAAGCAAATTCCCAAGATCTTAAATTGAGTTTCATTCCAAATTTGGATAATCATTGGGAAAGATTTAACAAAGTTGTAATAGTAGTTGTTCATATATTAGGTAAGCACCTAATAGGGAGATGAAAAAGTGTGCTTAAGTAAGCTTGGTAAAACATCACTTAAGAAAATTTATAAAAAATCCAGACCATATTTTATCTATACCATGCAATTTTTCATCAGAAAACTCTAATTTTTTTTTTTTTTTTTTTTTTTTTTTTTTTTTTTTTTTTTTTTNTTTTTTTTTTTTTTTTTTTTTTTTGGATTGTCAATATTAGATTTTGTGAGCAAAAAAATATCATTGAATGAGAATGGAAACAGGGAAGTTTCACTAAAATGTGAAATTTTTATAGTAAATAATTGTAATAGATGTTAGTAAATATTTAACTCTAATCTTAATAACTGATTACTGTTAATTCTGAGACTGGTCATTATTTTCCAAGCATGACATGAATTTTCCAGGTTTTGTAAAAAAAAACAATTTTAAAAAAATTGCAACTTTCTCTGACTATTCCCTGCTTCTTAAAGTCAAAATAAAATTCCTTGGCAATTTCAGGATTTTCCTGTTCTTTTTCCTGTATATTCAAAGAATCTTTTGATAAAAATTTAATTTTTTTTTTTGCAAATTCATGTAAAAATTTTCCTCTAGTATTTTTGAAATATTGTGAACCATGACATCCATGTTTTGTTTCAGCATATAATTCTCATACAAATTTGTCTTTCTTTTTAGCTAACAGAAGTGAATTTGAACAACATGGTTTGTCCTGCAGTTTCAGATCCATTTTATGGTCCGAATTATCGTATTTATGCTTTATTCCACCAAGCTGCACTTATACTTCTCATTGGAAAAATATATTCCAAAATCAGTTTACTTTTACTTGAAGCAATGGGAACTTTAGTGTGGACTGGTGATAAACTTATTACTACTGCAACATCCAAAGAAAAACAAATATGTGTCACATGCAAAGCTCAGTTGATACATGAAGGATCTCAAAGCACTAGTAAAAGCCATATTAATTAGAAATTAAGCTAGGTTTTAGTTTTTAAAGGGCAAAAGCTCATCAAGTACACTGTTATCTAAAATTGTATCAATGTGTTTTTGTTGGATCTTGATTGATACTCATTTTTCTTTGGATAGTTAAATAAACCATATTTTCAGAACAAATTAAAAATATGCAATTTACAGGGTTGCCACAGGTGACTGAAATGCGACTATTTGCAACTATTTACGACCTGAGGCGACTATGGCTACTTTTTTTGCCTGAAAAGGCTATAAAAGCAACTATTTTCAGGAAAAGGAGACTATTGGGAGACTTTTCTCTGCTAGCAATGTTTTTTTTTTTTTTTAAGCAAAAATTGGGTTAACAACCTGTGGCCCGCGGTAGCTTCTGAACATAGTGAAATTTTTTTCTAAAAAATATTCAATTGCAAATTTGAGTCATCACTTTTTAATGCACTCAATTTGCACAGATTCCATTGTGAATTTATTTTGTTTCTCAATCGCCTTTTCAACAGTTATTGCTATGAAACTCTGCATGATTTTAAAGAACCCAATTTTTAATATGATACTATGATGCGGGAATTTCGAATTTTAGAAAAATATATGTATATTTGCTAAATCAATTATTGATAAAAGGAAAAATTATGTGAAAGGGAAAATTAATAGAAAGAGTGTTTTTTTTTAGCAAAAAATTATTTTTCTTCATTAATTCTGGCATTTAAGAGTTTAATGTTCTGCAAATATGCTAATTTTTTTATATAAAGAACGTTTATTTAAAAATTATCATATTGGCCATCAACTTGGCTGAATGAATCATGGTATATTACAATGAAGTCATTTAATAAAATTTTAGTCATATTTTTGAAAATTTTTTGTTCTTATTTAGGCAACTATTTTCATAATTTTAGGCTACTAGAAGCAACTATTTTGTTCATTTTTTTCTGTGGCAACCCTGAATTTACGTGCAGACAAAATTTTAACATTAGGGGAAAAAAACTGCTTGCATAAGACTATTTCTTAGAAAGTAAAGTGGTTTTTAATTATGCACTTTATAAAATTAACTCTGGAATATGAATATTATTTGTTTATTTTAACAAGGCATATTTTCAAAAAAGAAACAATGGACTTTTTGTCTGCACATAACATGCATATTTTGAAAGTACATGAAGATAAGGCTTATTTTTATATTGTTATACAGTGCTGTTTTCAGAGATCTACAAAAGCATGTTGTTCAAATTTTAAACTTCAGTGTGTTGTCAGGGGATGCCATCTGCCATAGATTGTCTGTTGTAACTATTAGTTAGTTTGCATTTTGGTAGTTCATGATTCAAGATTATAAAATGAAAATGTACTACCTTAAGTTTAAATATATTTGAATCAATGTAGTATTTATTTAGAATTGCTATTCAATTGATCATTTAGTTAGCAAAAATTTGTTTTCAATCAAAAGTATAGCTCTTTATATACACTCCGATTTATCAATTTAAATCAAAATTTACTTTTAATACTATTTATAGGATATGGTAGTTGTTCTAACTGTCTCATTACATAATCATTCTATTGTGAGAAACTTGCTTTTAAGTTTCTTTTGTGTTTTAAATTATTAATAGCGATTTAATCTCTTGAGAATTATGACTTCTTTTGAAAATCTTCACCAATCCCTAGATAACTAAACAGTCATAAATTGAAAGCCCGGTTTTTGCAGCTTTTACAAAATCAGGATATTGTTGTAGCCCTTTAGCATTTTCAAAAACAGCAATTATTATCACTTATCTACATTTCAATAAGAATTTAAAAGTGTTTTCCTTAATCTAAGCTAAGTTTCTCTATATGTAAAGAAATTATGAAATTTGAAATGTTTCTAATTTATAGTGTATGACTGGAGTAAATAAGTACAGAATAATATTTATTTTTCATTTTCTATTACTTTGCAACAGGGCTGAAGGCTCTTTACTGAGTGGCATTGGTGCAAATCGGATTAGGTTTCCGCCTTAACTGGTTTGCACGTACATCATATGTGCTATTCTAAGTTGGTCCTAATTTGCTTACCCATACGCTGTATTGCAATTGATATTCTTTTCCTGGTTTTACCTTATTTTTAATTCTAACAAAATTATGTAGTATCACTGTTTCTACAGATGGTGTAGTTTTTCCCTGAAATACTTTTCATTCATGAAAGAGGGAAGGAAGCAAGAATATATTTCTTTTTCATAATTTTTTTTCTTCTGAAGTTCTGAGATAAAATGTTTGCCCATTTTTCTTATTCTAAGCCTTTTTTGTCAGCTTTTCATAAAAAAAAATTGGCCAGTTAAAGGGTTAAAAGACCCTATTTTATTTATCCTAGGATTACAAGCAACTACAAGTTAGTTATCTAGGGTTAATTGAGGATATTATTTATTAACAAAATCCATCCATTTATTATTTTAGCTCTAATATTTGACTTTACTTCTTTCTTTCTATTAAGAAACTTGGTGCTTTTAAAGAAATTTGAAGCTTAGAATGTATTTTAATCAACTTGCAACAATAAATCTATGGAAAATCTTTTTTATTGACATCAAAAAGATATATCTTTAAGTTGGCATCCCTATACTTTTTCATATACTAAATAAATAATTATTTTGTTTATACTCTTTCCTTGACAATTTAATCTGTATTATGACAAGGTGATTTATCTAGTCTATAAATGTTTATGATGTATGTTACTTAAATGGATTTATTTTTTGTGAAAGTTTTAATCCTAGAAAATTATATTTACCTTTGTTTATATGAATTTTATTAGTATATATTTCATACTGTTTAGTTTATTATTTTGATTATTTATTGTAAATATTGAAATTTAATTACAGTTAATTTAAAATTATTTTGAATTGAATACTATTTTGATTAATGAAATGTTGTATTAATTATTCAACATTTTGGTAACACAATCTTACAAGGCTGGAAAATTCATTCAAAAACCTTGTTAAAACCATTAAATTAGGTATACATCAAATATATATGTTTCACGAGATTATTTCATTTTATTATGATGAATCGCTTATCAAGTATCAAATATAGATTTAATTTATTTTAAAAATTTCATATACTGAATGAGTAATGAGTTGATGAATTTGTAAGTATTGTTAATATTAAAAGAAAGGGTATCCTGTGTTCATAATTCAAATGGAGTTATCAATTATTTTTAAAATCTCCTTTTACCTCATAATTTTTAAATTTAAAAAGATTTACAATTATATTTCTAATCTTATTTCCTTCATTCTGATTTGATGAATAACTCATTGGTAACCATATCTACTTTAAAAACTTAATCCTTGGCAGTCATATTTTGGTTACTATCTAACCCTTTATTGGTCTTATGATTTTGTAGAAAACTGTTTTAAAAGCAGGGCTTATAATTTTTTATTCAAAATATTTCTATAAAACTGAGTATAATTTTGAATTTTTAGCTGGAATTAGAAGAAAAATTTAAAAATGGCTAAATGTTGGTTTTCCAGCAAAGAGAAAATTTTTTTAAAAACTTGAATTTTATTACACTTTTGCATCATATAAATAATTGATAAATTTCGAAGCATGGGATGCAAAGACCAACATCACAATTTGGTCAGTTATTGAGTCGGGAAACTACATCTCTTTTAGAACAACAAACTTGGCATTCTCTTCATGGTTGGAAGGTATCTGCCTAATAAAAAAATCTTTAAATCTAACTGTTTAGATTCTACAAGCTCGGCCAGCCTCTTTTTACAATGATATTTAATAATGCATTCAAAAGCACACACAGTCACAAGTGCTATTCTCTGGTTTAAAATTAGCTGTCCCTAAACACATTGCAAATACAGGGTTTCCACTCCACAGGGAAAACCTAGAAAATACAAGGAATTTTGTTTCTTATTTTTGTCTTTTAAAAAATGGTGACCACTCAAAGCCTAATCTTGGGATATTTCAGCTTTTCTAGCATTATTTAAGTATGTTCAGCTGTTTTTCAAGCAATTAAAACTAACAAATATGGTTAACCCCATATAGCTCACACAAAAGCACAGTAATTGTTGTTTCCTCTTTATATATTGTGTTTAATATGTGCAGGGAATTTTTTCCCCTGATTTGAGTGGCAACCCTGAAATAGTCTGGTACTGCCATCTGGTGTATAGATTGAGAAATAAAAATGATTTCGAGGATCAGATTTAAATTACTTTTTGAACACTCCAGCTTGAAAATATTGCATGTACAAGAAAAGGGTGAAACTTAATCTTTTTCTTTACATCAAAATTATTTGAATTCGGTTATAATAATAGAAATCTGTGTCCAAGAGCAAAATTGCAACCGCAAATGTTCATGTACTGATATAGTAATAAACTTATATTGGTTCTATAGAGATATATTTGTGCTTCAAGCGTTTTCAAATAATACTGTTAAAATGATCCTTATTTCTTATATTCTGTTATACAAAAATTATGAGGTAAAAAAACTTTCACTATAATTTTTAACTGCTTTGAATACATTTAAAAAGAAAAATAATTTTATAACATATTTAAACTAGAAATTTTGCATTAAGACATATTTCTCGGCAACAGGCAGTCGAAAATATGTTTCTCACTTTATTGCATTATAAATAAAAACGCCTTACACTGATTGAAAACTGCTATTTAAGATATTCTCATATTGTTATTATGCCACTTCTGTCACTTTTGCATAAAATCATTGTCCTCATATTTATGACTATGATTTGTATAAACACTTACACTCAACGATATATATCGAATTGAAAATAAATGCACCAAATTTGGAAATTCTGCATCCTGCAAATGCAATAATGAAACAATTCAAATGTCACATTTTTGGTTGTTAAAAAAAATCACAAAACTGTTTTAGATAAAGTTTAATTGTGTCATTAACTGGTACAAAGCATTTATCCTATGCCAATTTGATTAAAATGCAAAGTATTGAAATTTAGAAAACTTTATAATAGTATTAACCCACTGGCGGTTAAGGAAATGGGCAAAATAGGGAGAATGTTTCTCCCCTACACACAGATCCCCTATCAGTTAACATGGGAAAACCGGTTTTGCTATGCAGAGAAGACTGCAGGTTAAAATGCGACTTTTTACGTGCAGAACCGTCATTGGGTTAAATCATTTTCACAAAGTACTAATGTAATGTTAGATGTATTACACTCTCTTTAAAGTCTTTTTTTTCCTTATAGTTATTATAGTAATACATTTCTATTATTAATGTGTGTATAACATATTACTACCTTTTTCACAGTTAAGAAGATATAAAATAGAAATTTAGTACGCAATGTTTCTAATATAGAATTAAGGTTAAAAAAATATTAGCTTTTAATTATTCAGAAACAATAGATGAAAATATACTGTAAAATTCATTGTTACTTTCAAGCTGTAATGTGATTGTTATTTTTTATTTTGAATTGAAAATAAAATAATTTTTTTCTATTAGGTGTTCATTATTATATCATAGTAATTATGTTACCTTATGAAACTGATTTTACAATTTCTTGAAGAAAAACTTTACATTTTGAAATTACATTTTAAATTTTGTACAGCTTATTTGCTATTGATATAAAATAACTTCTTTCTGAGCAAACAGGCAGCATATTTTCTGGCGTGTAAGTGAACTTTTTGAATCCCGAAAATACAATAAAAATTAAGATGTGTGCAAATATATTGTTATAAGTTTCAAAAAAATTTCTGGAACAAATTTCACAATTAATATTGATAAATGAAACCTCAGGTATAAAAGATTAATACAAAGAGTAAAATACAGTTTTACATTAATCCAATCTTTTTATATCCTACTATTGGTCTTTAACCTAGGACTATTGAGTGCTATCTACCACAGTTTCCAGTGCCACTATAATGGTTGAAGTTTTTTTTTAATTATAATAAAATATTGTAATAAAACATCTATGTTCTTTAAATTTCCGTTATTAAAAATTCATTTTCCATACGATTATTTTTTATAAGCTTTATTTTTTTAACAAATGTAAATTTTCAGATTGACTTATACAGGATGTTCAAAAAAGATTGCCCTTAGTTTATATTCTATTTTATATCAATCGTTGAGCAGCTGACAAAATTTTGGGTTTAAGACTACTAAGCCGTAACCTTGTAATTTTGAACCCAATCCAGAAGACAAGGGAACTCCTGGATCAAGTACAGAGAGAAATTTGCCTTCGTAGAGGACTTTTTGATAGAACTGACCCACGTTTGCTTTACATAGAGAGGAAAACCTTCCACGGTTAGCCTGTAGGAAAGGGAAGTCTAATCCATCACTGTGGCAAGTGTGAGCCATCACTGGGATTCAAACTCGGTTCACCTCATTGTTGGGGGAACGCTTTATACCTCGAGTTGTTATTTGTAGAATTCATTTTAGAAATTAAAACAAAAAAGCGTGCATATAGAATGTCTCAAATTAATATTTAAGTGAAGAAAAACAAAAACACTATCGAAATCTGACGAACTACAATGGAGGAAGACCGATGTAGTAATAATCCAAACAGGTTGAAACGTGATGGTTTTTTGAATAATCAACATTCATTTTAGATTTCTTCCTACAGTAAAATCTGTCTTGTTGTTTATTACGGTCTCCTTCCTGTACTTTTGATATTGTAGATCAAACATGCAACAATTTTTAAGTTACTAAATTGCATTTTTTGTATGGTTTGAAAAATTCAAAATCTATTACAAAATGTTTGTAGAAAATATATATGTAGAGTTATTTGCCAGTATTTTAATCGAAGGACACATCAATCTCTATTTTTTCTTCGTTGGAGCGACAATTATATTATTTGTAGAATACATTTTACAAAAAATGTTTCAATTAAGAAATCAATTTTTTAAGATTACTTACCTCTGTTGAAGTTTAGGTGTTGCATGTTGCCCGAGCTTGAGCATAGTTTCCAATTCTCCACTAGGCAAAATATTTTTTTTCTTCGTATAATTGTCGCCAAATCGTTCAAATAGCTTTGTTGTTTCATCTGTTGCTTTCATGAATTTGTTTCTTTCAATTATTCTACATGCTTTCTTAATTTTCCTCTGGATTTTATCAAGCACTTGCAGTGAAACAGTATCTTTCTTACTGTAAAAACTTTCAGATTATTAAGTTATGGAATGGGGAAGGCCAATAGGATGCTGTATGCTATGCAATATAAAGTCCTTACTTTAAATTATTCGTGAAGTTTAATTACTTGTATGCAACAATTTTTTTTTTAACTTTAGATACAATAGTCAAAATAATTTGGCAATATTACTCGATATAAAAATGTATTCCTATGCCTATTTTTACCATGTTACCTTTTTATTTCTTGGTCATTAATTAAGTTTATGCATGATTGCATTTTTAGTTATTGATCAGCGATAAACTACTTTATATTTACAGTAATTTTTTTTAAAAAAAGAAAAAAACAAGGCCATTATTTAACAAAACTCATTTTATTTCCCATAAGTACAATGTAGAAAAAAGCACTATATGTTAAAATGCAGATTTACTAAAATTTAATACAAGGAAAAAAAAATTACTGCATGAATTATTTACTTCATTATTAAAAATGAGCAACAATAAAAACTTTTTAATTAAAAAGTAATAAAGAAATTTGATACTGGTTTTCAGCTTTTATCACTTTTTTAGCACAGTTTTAAAAAATGCTTTGTGAAAATCAATATTTACTGTAAACAATAAAAATATTTATTCTGTACAAAAAATGGCTAATTCATAATAAAACTTTGTAATTTTATATTACATAATATAAAAAAGTTTCTATAACAATATGTACAAAAAAAAATTTTATTACCACCCCTTAATACACAAGGAATTTGTTAAAACTTTCATATTAATAGTAATTTTCTTTTTTTAAATTTAAAAACATAGTAAATGAATTTCTTTTAATCTTTTAAAGATTAAAATAAACTAATTTTTAGCTAGTACATTTCAGTAAATATTTTTACTATTATTTTTTTTTAATTGTATCTTATTTCTAGCTGACAAAAATCCAAAGATGCCACAATTTAATTAATGAGTTCTTTAAAAAATATCAAAGTGAAATTTGATTTTATTTTTTGCTATTGACAAAAATCCAAAGATGCCACAATTTAATTAATGAGTTCTTTAAAAAATATCAAAATGAAATTTGATTTTTTTTTTTTTGGCTATTTTGATTGTTATTTTTTATTTTATTTTAAGTTAATTATATTAAGTTAATTTTAATTAATACTCCTCTGGATTGCAGGTAAATGATCCAATTTTTGTTACACATTGTCAAATATATACTTTTTTGCTATGTATACAGAATAATTGTATGCTGCAATTATTATAATTATTTTAATAATTAATATATTACTTATAAAATTAATATCTAATTATATTTAGAATAAAGTAATTGTTGCTATATATATTTATATAATATTTTTATATGGACTGTAACTATCTTTGCAGATACACTTCATTATGAAGTACTTTAAATTAACTTAGATCAAATTTTTAATAGAAGTGTACTGTATTAGGTGCCAAAAATAAAAACGATAAACCCTAAATAATTTTTGATTATTACTATTATTATTGGATTTTCTTGTGCAGGAAAATAATCTTACTATCTCAAGCAATAGTCGTTAATGAAAGCCCATAACAATTCAATTAGTTTTGCTTCTTACCTCCTTAATTTTTTATTTATCTTGTTTTATTTGTTTATTATTTAAAAAAATAAATATTGAAAAAATTTGCGCAGCTAAATAACCACAATAGAATATGTAGTCGTAGGTTTTTTTTTTCATTTAAGAAACTTAGATATTTATTTATATAATTTAATCTCTGAAAATATAACATTGTTCTAAAACTGAAATGCTGCACATTAAATAATTAATTGATCAGTTGAAAAAAGAAGTCTCTCTCTATAATATATATATAGGGTGCGTAGCGTTTTTTAAAAAGTGCTTAAAGGTGCTTATTTTCGTTTTTTAAAAGCCCTTAAAGGTGCTTTTTTCATTGGGAATTTTTAAAAATTGCTTAATTTTCCCTTTTCCAAATTGAGATTTTTTCTTTACCATGCTGATTTTCGCTACGAATTATGCAGAAAGACACTGTTCACATTGTTCTATTCGACGTTTTCACAATTAATTCAACCCCAATCTATTTCGGCGCTTCGTCAGATCGTAGCTTATGAAAACGACATTCGATTTACACGATTCAAAAATTTTGACAATTGTCAAACACAATGCCAAAAGATTTTTTTTTTTTTTTTGACATGACTGTTAAAACCAGATAAAACCGTCAATTGTCAAAAACTTTCCAACCCTGCCTAGTTATGATATTCTTTTAAAGTGCTTAAAAATGTTATTAGAGTGCTTGAAAAGTGCTTATTTTTTGTTGAATAATTTGGCTACGCACCCTGATATAAACCTTTCACGTCATTATCTATGCTAGTATTCCAATATTTTAACTATTCATCTGTGGCTTACCAATGCCTGATTGAAGATGCTTTAGCCCTTTAATAATCTTTAAAGAATGTCAAATGTTCCTATCTAATACTTTTTAAAATGGTCAAAATTAAGGTCGTTTTTTTTTAGATAATAATTTTTTCTAATTCTTTTTATAAATTATAATTTGTATTTTTCTTTAAAATATTATCAGTAAAGTGGAAAAGAAATATAATATAAAAGCTATTTTCATTGACAAAATTGAAGATGACTTACTTCAACAATAAAAAATAAGATTTGTTACTTCAACAATAAAAAATTACTTTTAGAAAAATAAGATATTTAACAATGTAAAAAATTAAAATCCTTATTTTGTCTCAAATGCTTCTAAAATGCATAAAAATAGAAAATTGTAATTAAACATAGTAAGATATTAAATATTTTAATACACGCTGTTGCACTCCTGCCATGAAACATATTATTCAACGGCATAATTTTATATTGTTAATTTTGTTAATTACATTGTATAATTGTATTGTATAATTATATATCTTAAATTAATAGAAAATTAGACCTAATTTCGTTAAGATAACCAAATTATTTAATAGGTTATTTTAATCATTAAGAAGACTGCTCATCATTAGAAGATAGATAAGTAACTGCAAATTCATTTGCCAAATGTTTCTTAACTTTTATAAAAATAAGGAAAGGAAAAATATATATTCGATTAAAGAGCAAATATGAAAAATATTTTTTAAAAAAATCATTTTTATAATTGGTCCCAATACGAAACATAAACAATATAATCTACGTAAGCCATTTAGCATTCTTATGAAAAGCTTTAGCTTGTTACATTAATTGGTGCAAACTCAGTATACTAACTAAAAAATAAATCAACTAGACAGGGGTCTGTCCAAGCCAAATTTACTACCGTTTAGCGGTACCTTCACAAATTCAACTTTAGGAAAAATTTCACAAAATACTTTTTCCTAAAGTTTTATTTTTGTGTCTCGTAAGAAACGATAAATCCATATTTTTAACATATTTTTGTGTTGATTTTTGAATATAATTTTTTAATTTTCACAAATTATGTCTGAATTTTCACAAAATAGGTACCTCTCAGAAAAACCTAGACAGACCCCTGATATTTAAATTCAAATAAAATAATTGATAACCTTCCTGGTATAATAATTTAATGAGATAACTCCAAACATTTTAACATCGAAGATAAAAACATCACATGTATGCTGCAAAAGCGAGTATGATATAAAGCAGTGAACCCACATAAAATATCACTTATTTACACAAATATATTAGTTAATTCAAAAGAAATTCATCCAATTATGAGTACAAAACCGATTTGTGTTTCCATTAAAGCTGCTTTCGCCTAATCTTAAATTGTTGAAAAACTCTACCAACATATCTTCCATAAGTATAAAGAAGTTGCTCTGCAACTACCCATATTAATACATAATTTTAGAACACTTTTCAAAAAGGAAGTAAAAAATATAAAAATTAGAAGTCTCAATTTAATATTTCAGCTAGAAGACGAATCGCTATTAAGGAAATTGAGGTTAACAACTACAATCAGTTTGATTGCACTATGGAATAAAAGAGGAGTTGATGTATAGGAGAAGTTGCGCCAAAAATTTCAACTGTTAATCATACTGATTTTGATGTTTTTACAACAGCCTTTTTCACAAGTAAATCACCAGAATTCTTTTCTTCTCTTAAATATAAATTTGCAGCTTCAATGTGTTTACAATCTTACTTCGTTTTTGACTACAATTCTAAACAAATAAATTAATAGCGGTGTATACAGAACACCCTGTTTGTGTATTTAAACTGCAACTCATGTTGTATTTCTGAATAGTAGCTGATGAGCTGTATATGTAGAACAACTTGTTAAAAAAAAAACAAATTTTTTAAGCAAACAATTCTATAAATAGCGTGCAATTTTCGGAATTGTCGAGTTAAAAATTTGCTTCAAATATGGGACCATTTTAATCATAATCATGTAAATTAAAGCTCAATCACGTCATAATCAGTGAATTTGTTGTTCATTTATAGTTTGTAAATTGTATAAAATACTTTAGGTAGTTTTCATATATTTTGAAAAATATAAAAACAAATTTCCACTACTAAAATTCAATTCATAACGCAAACAGTTTATGCTTTTTTCAAATGCTGTGTCGTTACTATAGCTTAATCTTTTGTTTAATAAAAAATACTGCAGTTTAGTTCATGATATCGAAATACTTCTTCAGGCATATTTTTCTTCTGGGGTAACAACTTCAAACAGTTTTTGAAGACATTTTGTAATCCGAGCTGGAAAAAAATAGAGTCATAAGGTTAAATATTAAATTAATAATTTTAAAAATATATGACATTTCTACTTGAATAAAAATGTATTTAAAATTTAATTTATCAATAAAAATGATTATTGGTATGTAACGAATTCCAGGAATTGTTTCGTTGAAAATGAGTTTTTATTGTAAATCAGGAAATTCAAAATTTTTCTTCTGTAATGAGAATTCTCATAGTCTCCTTTATTATATTTAAAATTAGTTTTGATCCTCCAACAGCAAAATATTTTATTCTGCCATAATTTAAAATTTTTAGTTCATATAAATAAAAAATAATTTACTTTTCCTCGATAAACAGTTTAATTATCGCATTTTGATGATAAAAGTAGATAAAACTTTTACATAAACTAAATAGAAATCCATTTTAGTTATGTAATTATCAATAATTTAATCAGATCAATTAAAGTTTCACTGCAATGAATAAATAATTACATATTTCCTTTTTCATTCATTTTAAGGGTTTTCTTTTTTTTTCTCTTTTTTTTTACACATTTTCTATACATAATTTTGAGTTCTAAAAAGATCTTAAGAAAAAATTTGGGGGGGGGGGGAATTTACCGAAGCAAATATCAAAAATAAGAGCCTAGTATTTAATTTAAAAAAAATAAGGCTTTCAAATTTTTGCGTAAAAAAAAAACTTTAAAAAAAATCCAAAACTATAAGTGAATTCAAGATCCAATAAATTACTGAAAAGGTTAAGTTAAGTGATCGAACTAATATTATTAGCAAGGCAGTCAGCAAACCGAAATTTGATATTTGATGGTGGCGTCACGAACAGTTAAACTAGTTATTGACGTCATTCACAGAAATTTTTAGTTACGCTGGTCTTACGTTAACATTAGTTTCTACCTTTCAGGTACTCTCCGATTTGTTGGCAAATTTCTTAGCATGCGTTGTGTACCTCAAATACTGTACAAAATCTCTTTACTATTAATTTCTGTTTAACAAATAACATTAATAGATAGTAGACAATTCATTGTATGACGTTAAGAATACAATTCATTCATTGTATGGCAGCTAGATAAGTTTTTAATTGCTATGCCTGAGCCACTTTGTTTAAGCTCCTACCACAATGTTAAGTCACCTAGCACAAGCAACATTTACAGTATATTTCACGCAGAGCATCTATTTTTAAAGCAAATAAATGAATAGTTGGGACCCGAATAGTTTAGCTTTCTATTTTTGTTAAAATATTTTAATTTAAAGTTGAGCTTCATATTTTTTTATAAACATTTTAATTTATAAAAAAGAAATAAAGCCAACAGTTTTATTTTATAAATGAAATGTGATTATTTATTAAACATTTTATAGAATGTGACCTCTAAAAAGACCCAAAGCATTGTATGTTAAGTCTCTTTGAGTAGTAAAATTACTTTTTCGTCTTCTTAAGTAGTGTAAATTGTATTTTCTAGGTTAAATTATTTTCAGAAACAGTTGATTATTTTTTCAAATCTAAGTGATAGTTAATTTTGTTAATAGTGTCGCAATTATTAAGTGTTTTTTTTATCAAAAAATTTCAATAATTATATGATTTATATAAAAAAATGTTCATTGTTTTTTTGGAAAATATTGACTTTTCAGGGGGGATGATGAAAGAGAAGTATAATCTCGGGCTAGTGATCACAGCAAGCAGGTGATGGAGCCTTCCAACTAAATGAATAAACCTATCTTAGAATAATACAAAGCCAAACTATTTCATTTTTTACTGTTAAAAAGAAAGTTGAAGTGTTGCATTAGACATTTTATAAATGGTATGAAGTTTGAAAATGTCAACACTTCGGTACCCTTTCTGCTTTGCTAGTAATATTAGACCTATTAAATAAAAATATATACTTACAATTCATAGTATCCTTGTGCAGAGGAGTAGGTTTAGGATTACGCAAAAATAGAAAATAAACGGGCAGACCAGCAAACATCACCAATAACACTATGCCAGTTTCAAAAGGCTCAGCAAGCATGGGCACAAAAACAAGGAAGATACAACATCCGAGGAAAACAATAGGGCAAAATAACGAGACTTTAATGGGACGATGAAGATCTGGTTTAGTGACTCGCATAACCATTAAACCGACTATCACAACGCCAGTCCAGAACCATTGAGCAAAACTGAGGTAGTTGATGAGAACATAGACGTCACTTGTACACAACATCATCAAGGACATCAAGCACTACAAGAATTTCGAAAATTATTCCAATAAAATATTATAATTATTACATATTTAACAATTGCATAATTCTGAATCACTTTTATTTGCATAGAAAAACATGGTTCTAATGATATATTACTTATTTTGAAAAAGAACCTCGCCCAAATCTTATGGGTATTAATTCTCAATCAAATTCACTGAAAATTTAATACGTAGTAGTTCAAAACATTCTGATTAAAAATTCTCATTGATACTAATAGTCCAAAAATAGATAGCTTCCGAGATACGAATCCTGTAACCCTAAATAGTAATTTTCAGTTCTTTAATTCCGTCACGTCACACGGTGGGACAAAATTAGAAAATTAACTTCAATGTTCTAAAAATTGATCACCTATAGGTTTTTTGGGTCGCTGATTTCAAATATGAAGTCAAAATTTCAAAAAAACAATATGGCGGATCCAAAATGGCGTATGATTATTGAAAAAATTGTAAATAAATAAATAAAAATTATTTACTAGTAGTTTTTGAGATCTTTGATTACAAATTTGTAGTTAATAATTTTAATAAATAGAGTAATGGATGTAAAATCGCAAATATTTATTAAAACAAATTTAAACTCAATAAATTGAATCAAAATATTTAAGATTGTTAATTGCAAATTCGATTATCGAATTTTAAAAAAATAATGAATCTATTTTGCGAGATATGAAAAATTTTGAAAATTTTATAACAAAAATAATAATCTCAAGTTCATTTTTATAATTTTTTCATTAATTTTATCATTATTATAAAAATGACACGAACTATAAAAATTGATCTATCAGCCAAATTTGCAAATATTCGCAGCTAATTTTTTTTTAGTTCTTGAGTATATATACCAAACAAATGTGCAAATTTTTTTTTTTTACATCGGCAACGTAAGGCTTTTTTATAGAGCACCTTAAAGTTACAATTTCATTGTACAGGGCAGAAATAGGGAAATGGCTCTGGTTTTAATAGTATTTATATAAAGTAATAAATTCATATGTATCTTAGAAATGCTTTTATGTATTAATCATGCCTAGTTTTAATATTTTTATTTACTGTAAGGATTTATCATATTAATAAAAATTTAACTGAAAATTTTTTTTTATTTCGTCTTTGTTTCCATTTAATTGCTATTTCCATTAATAAACCAAAATAACAAAATACACCGTCATATTCCTTGGACATTTTACTACAAAAAACCATATTGAGATTTTTTTTTCTTATAACTTCATTTTTTTTTATTTTTGACCGCGAAAAATGATTTTTGATCCCCAGTGGCGGGGGAAAGAAGCACAAGCCTAATATTTGTTTTCAACTATATTTATAAAAATATTAGAGACATATTAGAGAAATAAACTTAAATTGAGATAAAAGAATTAAATTAAAAATTACTTTTTGCAGGACTTTTTCATGAAGGACTCATGTGGGAGCTTTTCAGAAATAAGTGCTTCACAAAACAGAAGAGTGCCTCGTAAGACTAATTAGAAAAAATGCATAAAAATTGAAGAAATAAGTTCGTAATTAATACAAGAAAGGCAAAACGATTTGTAATAAAAAATTGTTAACCAAACATTATTAAATATTAAATAAAAAATTGTTAAGCAGTTATTTACGGAAAAGCACCCACATGAATGCATGCAGGCTACTCCTGAACAAGTTCTGTATTATAGTCATCTTTTTTTAAATTCAATTTCTGCTTTGATTTAAATTGAGAGTTCTCTAATTATTATAAATATATTTAACTAATCATCCTCACTCTGTTTCTTTTATAGATATATCCCTCTAAGGAAAATTCTTTTGCCGTGAAGAAAAGAACAAGAGTGCCGATTTTTATTTCTCGTGTAGAGAAAAAACTTTGTCTGAGAAACATATATTTAGCAAAGAAAGAAAAAGAATGTTTTGGTCAAAGTGAGGGCTATTGATTACATGATCAATAAAATCGTGGCCATTGCTTTTAGTGTTAGAACTGCATTTCTTGGACATAAGATCTACTATCGTTTGGCACTTAAGCACGTTCCACAGCTAGTTTTATTTCTTCGTCCTTTAGCCAATCGTCTTCGATCATTGAGAAGCACGTAATATACCTTCTGTCCTTTTCGTGAAATAAAAGATTTTCTAACGAATCTACAGATCCATACATTTTTTGTTCGTTTTTTTTTTGCACAAACATTATAACGGTTTTTGAAACAACAGGCTATGCGTTTCAAGCCGAGATAATTTTCTAATAAACTATAAGACAATTTTTAAGAAGAAAACAATGAATGAAGCATGGATTAGTAAGTTAAAAAACAGTAAAATAATTTTTTTTTTTTAAATACTACTTTTTTGAAGAAGACTAAAAGGGAGGAAGAGTTTTGTCATTCTTGTATGCCTTAACTTATTATCTCCTCAAAATTTAAAGTTCTTCAGGAAAAAACAAATAAATTTGAAGATACTGCAAACGTGGTTGGTTTTGTAGTATTATTCTTAATCGATAATGAATCGATTAAGCAAGATGATTATAAATCATTTCTTGTACGTGGCATGACAACAGTCTGGAGGAAAAATGGAACAGCTATGGTGAATAAATATTTGCTAACCTTCTGAATAAGTCTATCTCGTATTAAAGTGATAAAACAGCACTTCAAATACTCTGTAGTATTATTCTTAATCGATAATGAATCGATTAAGCAAGATGATTATAAATCATTTCTTGTATGTGGCATGGCAACAGTCTGGAGGAAAAATGGAACAGCTATGGTGAATAAATATTTGCTAACCTTCTGAATAAGTCCATCTTGTATTAAAGTGATAAAACAGCACTTCAATATACTCTGTAGTATTATTCTTAATCGATAATGAATCGATTAAGCAAGATGATTATAAATCATTTCTTGTA